CTACCTAGTCTCCATTCGTTAGGAGGGAGATTATCTTCTTTTATGACCACCATATCTCCTACTCTCATGTTTGCCTTCGGATGTTTCCACTTTGTGCGTTTTTGTAGCTCGTTCAGGTATTCAGTCTTCCATCTCCTGCAGAAGTTTTGGTGTAGGGCCTTGAGCTTCTGCCAACGATTAACGATCGAGGCAGGATTTTCGTTGACGTCTAACTCTGGTGGAGCTAGCAGGTGTCCGCCGACTAAAAAGTGGCCTGGAGTTAGAGGCTCCAGATCAGATGGCTCATTTGAGGCTGGGCTAAGTGGACGCGAGTTGAGACATGACTCAACTCTGCAAAGTAGTGTACTGAACTCCTCGAAAGTGTATTTCGAATTTGACGCTATCTTTTTAAAGTGGCTTTTGAAACTTTTCACACCTGCCTCCCATAAGCCCCCCATATGCGGAGCTGCGGCAGGTATGAAATGCCAGGTTAGTGATTGGTGAACATATTTTGAGAGCGTCTGTGTCCGCGCGTCGGAAAGAAACGCCTTAAATTCTGCTTTTAACGCTCTTGAAGCTCCTACAAAGTTTGTCCCATTGTCTGAGTAGACATTTTTTGGGCACCCACGTCTGGAAACGAATCTTGAAAATGCCGCTAGAAAGGATTGGGTACTCAAATCACTTGTGGCCTCTAGATGGATGGCCTTCGTAGAAAAACAGACCATAAGACAGACGTAACCCTTTGAGATTCGGCACCCCCCGCCCACGATAACTTTTTATTTCAAAGGGTCCAGCGAAATCCACACCTGTATTTGTAAATGCTCGCGAAAACGTAGTTCGCTCTTGTGGAAGGATCCCCATAAGTTGGCTTTGTGAGCGTTTTTTGTGAATAGTACATATTTTGCAATTATGGATGGTGGACCTTATTAGTGTTTTCACCTTTGGAATCCAGTATTGGGTTCGGATGAGACGCAACATGAGTTGGTTTTCACCATGGAGAGAGACTTCGTGTACAAATTGGACTATTAGGCGCGATAACCTGCAGCTGTATGGGAGTATGACTGGATGCCGTTCACTATATGCCAGATCAAGAGATGCACCAAGACGACCACCAGTTCTCAGCAAATCATCTTTATCAAGCAACGGATTTAGAGGAAGGATTTCACTTTTTGACTCAATGGATTCTCTAGCTTTAAGTTTAGCGATTTCTGCTCCGTAATGTTGCTTCTGAGCGAGTTTTATCAGACGTATAGTCGTTGTTTTAATTTCGTTTGACGAAATTAAAGAAGAGTTCGCCTGAAAAGAAGCTTTTGTCTTCGGACTGGTTCTTTGAAGGAATCTCAATACATACGAGAGCACCCTCAAAGCTTTCGGTAAACTTGAAAACCGCTCAAGAATGTCACTAAGTTCGTTTGACGTTATTGTTGAATGAACGTGCAACCGTTTTTCCTCAATATTAGTAGTGAAGTCTATCTCTTGTAATGGCCAATTTTCTCTATTTTCTTGCAGCCAAGAAGGTCCTTGCCACCACAACGAATTTTGTACCAATTCATGCGCCAATATGCCCCTGCTTGCTAAGTCTGCTGGATTTGTGGCAGAGTCGACGTGCAACCAGTTAGAATTCCCTACCTTGTCTATTATTTTAGTAACTCGATGGGCAACGAATGTTGACCACGAACATGGGGGCTTGCGTATCCATGCCAAAACAATCGTCGAATCTGTCCAAAGATGTATGTTTAGGTGGCCTAATTCCAGGCTATTTGTAATAGATTCGACTATTTCGGCTAGTAATACCGCCCCGCAAAGTTCCAATCTAGGCAATGAAATTGTTTTCACTGGGGCTACTCGAGTTTTCGCTAACAGGAGGTTGACAAGTATTTTCTCGTCTCTTTCGACACGTAGGTAGACTGCGGCCGCGTATGCCTTTTCAGAAGCATCGCAGAATCCGTGAATTTCGACTTTTTCCTTTGGTGAAAAAGATACCCACCGCGGTATCCTTATTTTGTCGATTTCTTTATAATTTTTTGTGAAATTGTGCCACCTATCTAAGGTTGGAACGGAGACCGTTTCGTCCCACTTTGTACCCTCCAACCATATATTCTGCATAAGTATTTTTGCAACTATTATTATTGGAGCTAGCCAACCCAAAGGGTCGAATAGTTTGGCGATGGCTGACAATATTGCTCTTTTTGTTGGCGTGATGTTATCGTCTATGGTCTTGGTTATGAAATAAAATTGGTCGGAATGCGCATTCCACCTGATACCTAATGCTTTTACACTGCTAGTGTCCTCGAATTCTAAGAAATCTTCGCTTAAAAGATGTGGTTTTGGTATGCCCTGTAGTATTTTGTCACAATTCGAGGTCCATTTTCGCAAAGGGAATCCAGCTGTTTTCAAAACTGTAGAAACCTCATCCCTAGCCTGTAACGTGGAGTCTATAGTATGTCCGCCCGCAAGAACATCATCGACATACATATTTTTCCGTAAAATATTCGAAGCTATCGGATGGGAATTTTCTGAATCATTAGCTAGCTGCAGTAATGTCCTTATCGCCAGATAAGGCGCACAGTTTATACCGAAAGTAACCGTTTTTAATTCATAAAGACCGATTGGTTCGTTTGGACCCGTACGGAAGACTAATCTCTGGTATTTCGTCTGGTTGGCATCCACGAGAATTTGCCTGTACATCTTCTCAATATCGCTATTGAAGACGTACCTAAAAAGTCTCCAGCGGAGAATCAAAATTGGTAAATCAGCTTGAAGAACTGGCCCTGGTAAAAGAACATCGTTCAAGCTGACCCCATTCGCTGAAGAAGACGAAGCATTAAAAACCACCCGAACCTTTGTTGATATACTTTCTTCTTTTATCACGGCATGATGAGGCAGATAGTAATTGTCGATTGCATCGGCCGACTGAAGTGCATTGATTTTCGACATATGCCCCATTGTCTCGTACTCTAGTATGACCCTGTTGTATTCCGCATGCAAATCTGGATTTTTCCTGAGACGTGTCTCGTTTTTGTAGAATTGCGAGCACGCTATTCTCAGTGATGGCCCCAATTTGGTATCAGCCGGGAACTCCGCTTTGAATGGAAGCGAAACGATATACCTTCCGTCTGGGTTCCGTTTGGTTGTACGCTTGTAGAGCTCCTCACACTGTGTTTCTTCGGTTGTTGGTGCTCTGTTTCTCGGCAAATCCTCCAGTTCCCAGAATGAGCATAACTGTCTATCAAATATTATTTGAGGATATATGTCTCCTCCAAGAACCAGATCGACTTGTTCATTCACAAAAAAACCTTTTATCTGCCAAAACCAGATCAGGAAAAACTTGTTGTGTGAGTGCGCTAACATCACAAGTAGGCAAATTCCCTGTCAGATTTGGTAGAACTAACACAAGGGCATCAATAGAAATAAGTGGGTCAATTGGTGACCGCAATTGAATCGAACACGCTTCTTTCACCTGCGCTGAAACAGAATTATTGATGCCCGAAACCTGTGCTAACATCTTCTTGGTCGGCAAGTTGATTCTGCGTCTGAGCCTCTCCGTGATGAAGGAACACTCAGAGCCAGAGTCAATTAACGCTCTTGCCGCAAAGTTAGTACCATTAAAATGAATATTTACTCGAGCTGTCCCAAGTAAAACGCCTTTGCTTGAATTCGCGTGATGTGTTTGCACATGTCTGACTGCTTTACCTTTTCCCTTTGAAGATTGGTTTCGTAATTGTGCCTGCCTGGATGTCGATGCACCATTGTTAACTGGATTGGCTGTATTCTCCTTTGTCGTTGTTTTACCAGGAGCCGCCTGTATATGAAGTAGGGTGTGATGTCGAGAATGGCAATTGGCACAGTTGTAGGAACTTGTGCATTTCGACACCGTATGCCCAAAGGACAGGCAGTTAAAACAACTATTGTTGGTTTTAATAAAAGCGATCCTATCAGATATCGACATATTTAAGAATTTTTGGCACATATGCAGTCTGTGATCATTGCTTTGACACATTTTGCAAGTAAATTTGCTTACACTAGTTTGAAAAGTGCCAAGTTTCTTTTGTGGCGGTTCAGAGGAATGCTTATGACTTAACCCTTTTGAAATTTTTGAAACCTTGATTCCTCTCAACCCCGAGACCGATTCCAAAGTTTGGAATCTGCTTGACAAGAATTGGTCCATGTCAGCCCACTTGGAAATATCTGTTTTATTTTGCACTGATTGCTCCCACAGCGAAAGAGTCTCTTCTGGTAATTTTGTGGAGCAAAGGTATGTAATTATTGGATCCCAAGTTGAAATGTCAATTTTATGACTCTCCAGGGAAGATATGCAATTGTTTATATCCCTTTGCAATCTTTTAATTGCACTCCCGCATTCAGTTTCCACCGCCTGTAGATTGAAGAGGATCTTCAACTGGGTGTTAACTAGGATCCTTTTATTCTCATACCTATCGCACAAATTCTTCCAGGCTATATTAAACCCATCATTTGTCAGGTCGCATTTCTTAACAATTTCTTTGGCTTCACCCTGCGTTTTCTGACTAAGATAGTAAAGCTTTTGAATGGGTGTCAGCCGCTTGTTCAATATATATATAGCCGTGAACATGTCACGAAATGTTGGCCATGACAAATAATCGCCCTTGAATGCGTCGATATCACAAGGCGGTAGGTGTAAATTATGCTGTGTGGCTGACATGTCCTCATCTTCCTTTTCGGATTTTTCAAATTTTTCCGACAAATCGTTTATTTTGGACATACATCGCACAAAAGCTGCATAGCACGTTTTTCCTTTCTTACGTATCGAACTTAGATCTTTAGCACCAATTGATTCCGTAGCCAACAAGTCATCAAAAAGTGCTTTGGCTTTCTCCCACATCACCTTTAGCTCCTCTTGCTGAATTTTCAGCGAATGCTTGGTGTGTTCACTTGTGGGTGTGCCAAGAAATTCGATATCGAATTCAATAACCGAGTCAGCTAAGCGAATGTATGTTTCCATTTTTAAAGTTTTAACCACAACCTAATAAGATCTCTCAAGATTCTTCCTCAGAATAAGCAACTCAAAGAAAACACCCACTATAGTGAATGACACAGTTGAAATTATTGCCCAAAAGCCACCCAATTTGTAAAAATCACAAATTTTGCCTCCTAAGCTCCACAACTTCGTAAAAATCCCAAAATTTATGGTACTCAATATCTATGTATGTATATATGTACATATATGTATGCACAATCGTTTTATTTAATAATATATGTGCGTGTGTATGTACATATGTCTCTTGTGGTTGCTTTAAGTATTGGTCGCCACCCGGTATGTGTATAGTCTTTTATAACACGTATGTTTTTAGGATACAAAATCGTTTTTTAATAAAATCAATATTAAATTAATGCTTAGTGAGTGATTTTGTGAAAAAGGCGAAAAGATGAAAATGGCACTTTTTGAGGTTAAGCCTCTGCTACCATGCGAATTTGATATGTGTATGTATGTATGTTAATACACTTGTGCCACTTATCCGGAACTCAGAAAAAACTGAAAATGTGTAAATTCCCGTGAATTAATTTAAAACTCCAAATTGAAAAATGTGATTTTAATTCGATTGGGAATATTATTCTATCTTGCAGAAACTTAAAATGCAAAATGAATTTTCGCGCGCTTTTACTAATTGAGGTTACTTTGCCTGCTTGCGGACAGACAGAACTTTTAGTGGACTGTAACTTTTTTTTTTTTTTTTTCACAAGATCACTCGCGGACACTATTCTTTTAGTATATATTTTAAATTTAATAATTCACACCAAAAAAAACAAGTGCAGTGATATTTCAAAACAACCACGTACCTTTTTAATGTGCTTTATGTTGTTTTGTTGTAGCTGATACAAATTCAATTTTGCTGTGTGGTGACCACGTATGAACTCCTTGGCTAGCTGCTATGCTGGATTGTGGAATTTTTAGCCGAAATGCTATCTAATAGTGCTGGTGGATTGATTCTCGGCTGATCTTGATGTAGCTGATTAGCGTTTTGATCTGGCTGATATCTCCGGGAATCTTATAATTTGTGCTCACGGCGACGGAGGACCATGTTCATCGGGCAAAGATGGTTTAGAGCGCAGTTTTCGGATGTGCCG